CAATGTGCAGAATTTCAAGATGAATTGTATAGCTCTTTATTATTTTTGGTGTAAACAGAAAGTCTTAGTACAGGCAGAAGAACTTTTTGATGTTTTAGACTATTTGTGACAAAAAGCATAGATGGAGTCAGTCTAGTTTGTAATACTTTTGGGAGAGGGGCTACTTTGATGTAGTACACCTGTGGATAAATAGAAGAAAAAGTTACCATTCTCAAAAAAAAACTTACATAGCTCTTATTCCCAGAAAAAATGGGGGTAAGAATTGAGAGATTTCAGACCAATTAGTTTAATAGGAAATATATATAAATTGATATCCAAGATCCTCACAGAGACTGAAGAAAGTGATTCACAAATTAGTAGATACTTGCAGTCTTGAAAGGCAGATAGATCACATATCCTGATCTTATTGCCAATGAATGCATATATTCTAGAATGAAAGATAAGACACTAGGCATCATGCACGAATTGGATATTGAAAAGGCATATATCCATGCAAATGAGAGTTTTTTGCTTGGAATTCTGGAGAAGATGGGGTTTGGAGGGAAATGGATCAGATGGATAAGATTTTGCATTACCACTGTCAGGCTCTTTGTTTTGATAAATGTTTATCACCTGAAGGTTTTTCTTCTTCTCAAAGAGGTTTGAGACAAGGTGATCCATTATTGCCTTTTTTGTTCATTATGGTGATGAAGGGACTTAACAATATGGTGAAGATTGCCCATAATAATGGGTTGGATAAGAGGTTTTTAATCTAGCAAAGGAATAGAATGAAAGAGTGGAAGTAACACATTTGCAATATGCTAATGACTCTCATATTCTGTGATGCAATGGAGAGTCAGTTGAAGTATTTGATGATTATTCTTTTTGTCTTTGAGGCTATTTCAGGCCTTCACTTAATCGGAGAAAAAGTTTATTTTCCCAATAAATGAGGTGGCTAGGATTTATCAGTTGGCTGGAATTTTGGGTGGAGAGATAGGTAAGATTTCAACAATTTACTTAGGAATGCCTCTGAGTGCAAAAACTAAATCAAGAGATGTATGGAATGATGTGGAAACAGATTGACTAGTACCTACCTATTTGTGTCATGTATTTCCTCTTCCCGCTAATGTAGAGGAAAGAATTGATGCTCTTAGGAGGAATTTTTTGTGGCAAGGAGGAAAAAGGCTATCATTTAGTCAAATGGGACACCTTAATTTTGGCCAAGAAAAATGGAGGGCTGGGTATTAGAAATCTGAGAAAGCAGAGCAATAGTCTCACGATGGAATGGCTGTGGAGACTACCTAAGGAAGAAAGCTCTTTATGGGGCACTGTGATATAAGCTAAGTATGAAAAGGAAGGTTTTTGGTGGACAAAAGAAGTAAACACTACATAAGGCACAAGTTTGTGGAGATCAATCAGGAACCTATGGCATGTATTATTTGCAAGACTAGTTTTAATGTGAAAGATACAAGAGAATTTTGTTATGGGAATTTAGCTGGCTAGGTAATGGAAGTCTTAAGAAACTGTTCCTGACATTTATATTTTATATCAGCAACAAGATTCTACCTTACAGGAAGTGTGGTCAAATCAAGGTTGGAACTTGACCTGTAGAACATTGATGCAAGACTGGGAGATGGAAAGGTTGGCCAATTTTTATGGCACTCTAGAGTAGTGCAAGGGGCTACAGGAAGGAGAAGACACACTAAGATGAAATGTCATTGCAAAGGCATTTTTATGGTAAGCTATGCCTATAAGGACATGGATTAGATGGGTTCTCAGATCAGATTTTTACCTTGGAAGCTTATTTGGAAAGTAAAATTTCCATACAAAGTAGCTATTTTCACTTGGTTGGTCGTGAAAGAAGCTGTTTTATCTCAGGAGAATCTACAGAAGTGGGGCAAACATATGTGCTCCAAATGTTATTTTTGTGAGCATAATGCAGAGACAATCATTCATTTGTCTCTGCTTTGTGAAGTGGTTAGCCAGCTTTGGAATTTATTTACCAGCTTCAGAGGCATAAGGTGGATGATGTCAGGAAGAATAGGGGAGGCACTGACTAATTGAAATTTTGAGGGCCTAGCACTAACCAAGACAGATGGAAAATTGTCCCAACAGTAACATGGTGGGCCATTTGGACAGAGAGAAACTCTAGGTGTTTTGAAGGCAATAGTAGCTCTCTGTAAAAGTTGAAAATGAACTGCATTATAAGTTCTTGTTATTGGTGCAACTCAGAGTATACAGATCACTCAATTTCTATAGTAGACATCCTAGGATCCTTGTAAGATGAGATATGATTTAGTGTTAGTCTATTGTTTTTACTCTTGGATGTAGATTCAATGGTGTAATTTTGGCTTCCACCACCGTGTGCTGATGTTTTATATACAGTCTGGTTACCTTGTCAATAAATCAATAAATTAAATAAACTTCTTTTAGATAAACAAGTAATATATTTTAGTGAAGTGACAAATATATGTGCATACAATGAACATTAAGTTTTATTATTATTAGGTGTTTAATATATATATTTAAAAAAAATTATATTTAATAATTATAAATTGATAGCTAATATTGTTAAAAAGTAATTGGCATCTTCCCACTCATGTGAGTATTGTTTTTAACAAGTATTCCACACATTTGAAATGAAAGACGTACTGCATTTGACTTTGCCAAATTTGAAAAATAGAAATATAAGAGAATTTGAAAAATCATCCAATTTCATGCTAACCAGTGTTTTGGGAAGCGAGAAGCGGAAAAAAGCGACGAGGGCTCGCTTCACAGAAGCGAGAAGCGAAGCGCGCGCTTTTTTTAAGTAAAGCGATATTTAGTATAAAATAAAAAAATATTAAATAACTGAATAGAGGTAATATATTCTTTAGATTAAAAGTAAATAGATAGTCAATAATACTCGTAAGTCATAACATATAAAGCAAAAAATAAAAAACATAATTAAATCACAAAAGTAAATAGATAGTCAATAATACACACATCACTGATCACACAGTCACTGTATAGAAATAAAAAAGAAAACAGAGCAGCAAAAGAATTGGAAAAAACAGAGCAGTAATATTAATTGAAAAAAAA